GTTTTATTACTTTAAAGCGGCTTTTACACCATCAGTGAAACATACTATCACATATAACAAACCTAATTTTCATGTGATAACACTAAAAAAAAAAGTTTTTGGTACAAGTGTCCGGATCCAATTAAAATTTTTATTTGGGTCAAGTTCTTCCTTTATTGCAATTTAACAGGAGACCACTGGGTGAGCAGCTGTGCCGCCATGAAGACTTTCAGCTTTATTGCTCACTCAGTGAGACAACGTTTATTTAAAATTTTATATTACAATAAAAATTTTGATTTTGATGTACACATAATTTTGACATATACTTGACATACACTGACAGAATTCAAAAAGATATTAACAGAAATTTTGATGGTACATACATAGAATATAGAATGCATAATGTAGAGTACAAATAAAGATTTAGATAAAAAATTTTGGTTATATACATAATAAATAAAATAGGATTTTGATGGTATGTTGAATTGCAATAATAGTTCACAGTTGATAAATAGCTAATAATTCATAAATAGTTCACTGTTCATTATAGTGCACAGTTGATAAGTCTGTTAAAAACCAAGTTTATTTATCTGTTGAAGTTAATAATTAGTCTGAAGTAAGTTCTGATAAAGCTCTGAGAAATTTTATAGTTAGTGTGAAAAAAGTTTCATATTTGTTGATTGAAGTTGGGCTGTCTTGAAGTGATGCTAATTATGCCAAAAAAAATGCCGATGTGGAATTGTGATGCCTTAATTTATGCTGCCTTTAGATTATCACAATTTTCTACGAGATATTCCATTAAATTATGAAGTTTTTTGTGGAGAGATTTACTTCTAAGTAGTTGTTTGAACCATCATTGGGCATTTTCACTTGTGAAAGGACGAAAGTGGAAGTCTTTAGTGATTGCACATTCAAACAGGTAATGATCTATTGTTCCTGTTGATCCACATATACAGTTGTCTGTATGATAAAAGCCAAAACGAAAAAGATATGAAATGAAGAATCCATGTGCTGTTAGAAGATATATTATTGCATTATTTGTTGTAACTAAATTTCATGTTGGTTTTGGTAAAACATAATAGTTCGTCTGCCCGTATTATCTTGTGACCACATGAGTTTCCATTGTAAAATCAAGTCTTGATTTTAAAAGTGATATTGGATTTGGTAAATAGGTTATTGCTGTTATAGTACCATTTGCTGCTTCTTTTGCCAAGCTATCTGCCATTTCATTGCCCAATGTAGTTTAGGTTTTTGTCCAGTTGGAAAATATGCGAGTAAATATTTTATATCTTGAACCAAAGGTGAGATAGAGGACAAAAGAGTAGTCTTTTGTCCGAGAGACTTCTAAACACTTTAACAACTAATAAAACAGGATCTGGCAAAAAAAAATATTTATGAACTAGCTTGGCTTTATTGTGGCCACACCAAATATCTGCCCCTTTAAAATTTTCAAAATATGCAGAAATTACGTATTTTTGGATTCGCCCTAGTCCCCTCTTCTTTTAGCCCAAAATTGAAGATCTGAACAGCTGAATGAAAATAAGAACAGTTAATAATGTCATCAATAGATGTCCTCATTTTCCCCTTAAATTCGATGAAACGGCACATACATGACACAGAACAATTATTTATTTTTATTTGTATGGTTTTTAAGATTATGCATCTAAAGAATGGTTATCGAGTTTGATTTATTTCAAAGTAAGAATTAGAGGTGTACATACAATCAACTGTTTAAAAAGTTTCCTCTGCAATCTGAACTAGTTTTAATAATAAGAGATAGAACAGAAGCTATGACAAGCCTCATAAACAGATTTATGCCAAATGCTGAAGAATTCCCAAGTTTTTTTAGCTATCACTGCACAATTCACTAATAAATAAAAGATTAAATACAAAAGAATTAATGGGCATAGTGTTCAAATTTTTTTAAATAATTTCAAAAAGGTTACACAAATTAACTTCCTTTTCCAACTGCAACTTAACAAACGACAACCAAAATTATTACATACTGATGACTACAGAAGTAAATTTTTGCAAGGATTTTATCATTTACTAACTGAAATTAAAAAACTTTCTCAACCAAGTTCAAGAAAAACTTAAATGATAAAATTTGGTTTAGTATTTTACAGGTTTTACATAGAAATTTAAGCAATTTAGAATTAAAAGGGGGGGGAAAAATAAGACAAATTACCAGTAGCATTAAAGAATGCATTTAAAAAACTCATGCCAATAGCCAACCTTCAACAAAACAATATGAATCATTTTCCAAATATGTCAGATCTACAAAAACATCAAAATAATAATTATAAGCTGACTGAAGAATTTACGGTCAGGTTTCGCAATTCTGGGTAGGGAAAAAAAGGAGGTGTGCATTCTTTCTTTTCAAAAGGAATATAAAACACAATGCGTTTAGCCCTTATATCCACATCATCCTAAACATAGAACAGCACACATAAATGGTCTTTGTATAAAATCTTTGAAATAATTCAAATTAATGATTTATTATTTAAGAGTCATTTGAATATATATTTGCCTTTATCACAAGTTAGAATTAATTTAGGTATTTTTTATTCCTTTTTTTAAATGGGAACTTTTGCAGATTTTTTTCTTATGTTTTCAATGCACAAGTTTATTACAATTTTGAGCTCCAAGAAAAACATGCATATAAATTTACTCATATATTACATACTTTTATTCTAGTATTAAAAAAAAAATTACCTGAAAGATTTCTTTGCATTTAACTGTCCTAAAAATAGGAGGACAGTAATATCCACTACTACCAAATCCCCATTACTTTGTAATGGAGATAATCCTCTGTTACATTCGAAACACTGCTATTCTATAAATAACACATGCACTTTAGTCTAGCTGGCAGGTGCACATCATGTGACAGAAAGGTGCATGAAATGTGGAGAAGGGAGTTGAGTAAATGTTTCTAACACCCACTCTTAAAATCAGTTTCTATTCTAAAATTCATCGAAGTAGACTAAATTTCTCTCCTTTCCGCATGCTTAAATTTTGGAGAAGAATAAAAATCCAAAGACACAAAAGAAGAAACCAGCTAAATGCCCACTTATAACTCTCTAAAACAATGTCAGAAAAGGAACACAGCTCTACAGACAGCAGTTTTTGTTCAAAAAACAAAGCAAAGTTGAAGCAGTTCGATGGAATGACAGTTGTGTTGTTTTTATCCAATTTCGAAGAAACAAACAGTGTATTTTTATCCAATTTTGAAGAAACAAAAAGTGTATCAACCGTAGAAAGAAAAGTAAAAAGTGGCAGACAACAGGTAAAGATACCAATATGCAACACATCCTAAATATAAAAACAGATTTGGCCTACAGAGGTTATGTTACTTCAATTCAAGGAAAGAAAGGATACTAGCCTTTATTTGTTCCTGCGTTTGAAACAGCATTTGCTACTTCATGAAAGCTCAATCAGATATTTAGCGATGATACTCCAAGCCTGCTTAATTTTCAAAGGCGCATAACAGTTGCCTATTTGGGACTTCTTATTCTAAGAAAACCATCTTGCAGAAAACTGGGTGTTCAACAGGTAAATGAAGATTTTCTAAAGCTTCAAAATGAACGTTATGGTGAGAAACCCATAAAAGAACAAAAAAGATTCCAGATAAAAAACATCTGTAATCTATCTATCAAAATCCAACAATTATGTGAAAACATGTCATGGACTATACATAAGATGCATTCTCCCACTCCACCTAAATAAGAATGATTAGCAGTGGATTATAAAATTGTCCATTTTTAGGACAGGTTGTATTGAGATAAAGTACAGAAGCTTCCACTTATTTTGTTTGGCACTTTTAAAAGAGAATTGGGTTTTTGTCAATTTTCTTTGACTTTTTAAGTGGAAATAAATTAATGTGTACATGGATAAAATCAAGGGAGTGCACAATGCCATTTTTGTGCAATTCTGGGATTTTATTAAGTGAAAATAGGTCGATGTGTACATACATGGATGACAAGTATGTGCAATTCTTAAAAACGTGACAAGCAGTGGGGGGTTATGCACTTTCCCCCTGTATTGATCAAACTAATAAAAATTTGGCAATTTTTTTTTTATTTTATATGCATACATAAACTTAAAGAAGCATATGTTTAAGAATTTTTGAAAAGTATTAAATTTTTCAGTGCTTGTAAGAGATGGGTTAATTATGAAAACATGCATTAGAAGGTGCTACTATTGCCAAAAATCTGTGCAACCGTCTACCAAAGAAGCACTCATTAGAAAATGAAATTGCAACTCTACAAACACAAGACAGGAAAACAAGAGTACAGTTTTTGGAAATAACATCACATGAGAAAAGTATAAATATCACCACATATAGAAAATTTATTTGCTCTTGTTTTGGATCTACGTACTTATCTGAATTGACTTTTTCATATTTAAAATTCACAAAGACTTTCATAGTTAAAGTTCATGAAAAGATGAAAAATCAGCAACTTCTACTTTCAAACTAACTATCCCATTTGAAAAATTTAGTTTGTAGACGAAGTGCTTGCAGTAAAGTGCAACTTAGCATTTCTGATATAAAACTCAATTTTTAAATTGCGACTAAATCTGAGTATCTAACGGCTACACAGAGATATTTAAAATGACGAAGTTGGCTCTTAAGCCTACACTGTGGCTTTCAGCAGCCAGAACATGCTTTGCCTAAACAACCACAAGACCGACCTCACTTAAAATACACATAAGCTTATAGCATTCTAGCAGAAAAACAGAAAAGAAAGAAGTGATAGTACAGATTTGGAATATTGACCATGATGACATATTAGGAAACAAAATGGAAAAATTATTATTCTCGGTCAGAGTAGACTGAAGGGTAAATACCCCCTGAAGTTGCATCTTGTTAAATTTCATGTTTACCAGTCTCAATGCTGGATTTGGACAGTCGTTTTTTGCCAGGGAATTATTAACTGCATATATTTTAGTCTCATATTTGATACTTTTAAGTTTAATTGTTTTATTAAGAAATACAAAATAAAGGGGGGAAATAAACTTACTGTAAAATCCAAGGAAAATGTACGTTTCGAAGAACACTGCAATGCAAAGTGTTAACGGACAGGCTTCTTGGAAAACTGCTTTTCTAAACGTGGAAAGATTTCAGTCAGTATCCTAATAATAATAAAATAACTGATGATAATACCGGAAAACAACTACAGCCTTAGCCAAAAATTTAAATCATAAAAGTAAACAGTTACACAAAAATTGTCTGTTTATGCAAGTTTTCCATTTATTAAGAAAGAAAACCTATCAGTTACAAGCTGCAAAATTTACACACATTACATTAAAAATTTCTGAACTGAGAATTTAAACTAAAGAACTTACCTAGAAATCTTTCTAGGGTAGAAAATAAAAGTGTTAAGAATCTCATGCTCTTTCAGCCTACAATACAGGCCTTACTTAGACCTCCACCTCGTTTACCTAATAGGAATATCCGAAACTGCTACTCTTTCACAACACTGCGCATGTGCTGGTTTTGAGTTTTAGTTTGCAAAATGTTTTCAGTTCGTAGTCTCGGCACCAGTAATATTCACCGATTCTCTGAAATGTGAAGCATAGTGAAGCAATCTTGCTTTGGCGAATTCTGCTACATCGCCTTTGCTGTTTGTTTATTAATGACAGAAGCATTAATATAAAAATATTACATAATTGAATAAAATGTATTTCCGTTTATTCAGCGCTCATTACTTTAGAGAAAAAATGGGTGTCCAGCGTACTAATATTTTGATCGATTTTACCACGCGGTCTCTCAAAATTGTTTTGTAGAAATCCTTTATAACGTATATTTGTGTACTTCGCAAGCAACCTGTTTTTATTTTCTTTTATACTGCCACTGAGGTCTAAATTACCTTACTCCTGCATAAATTACTGTAATACGCGTTCAACATACTTTAGTTGCCAAAGAATACTTAAGTAATAGACATTAACAGAAATTAAAATGTGATAACATGATCAAAATGACTAAATTTCTATCAACCATTTCCTTGTTTTCTGTTCATTTCTTGAACAATATGATATCTGTCTTTTTTTCAGTCTCTGCTGATTGCTTTTATAGTTGTAGCGTAATCTGAGTTAAAATGACAGTGGTAAACCAAAATGGGGGGGGGGATGTGAAAGTAGTAGTTTACTTCACAGTTTATAGAGATGTAAGCAGCTTGAATAGATTTAAATTCATATTTATCAGTGCATTTGTTCCGGTAGTTTTGAATCTTTGGTATAGATCCAGTATTAGTTAATGTAATGAGCCCCCCTAAAATAAAATCTGAAAGTTTCCAAATTTTATATTACGCCCAGAGGAGCCCTTTTTTTTTTTTTGGAGGGGGTTGGGCGTTTTGGGTGTTACCTTTATTTATTAAATATCATGTTCTTTTCAGTTAAACCATAAAATTCAACAGCAATATCACAAAGTAATTTAAAAAGAGCATTACACAGTCTCTCGCGCTGGAGATAAAAATGTTTTTTTCTCTGTACAGTGTTGCCATTGCTCGCTTCGAAATCATTGAGTTTGTTAATCAAAAATTCGTTGAAATTTTACAAACTATGAAATAGATAGTAAAATCAATTCTTAATTCCAAATTTGGGTTTCCAGATGCTCGTATCCAAGTGGAGATCTACGTTATTCAAAATTTGGTGTTTCTGGTACGCGTAAGAAAAAAACTAGGTGGTACGCAAAGAAGCAAAATATTTTTAACTATTGAATTCAATAATTAAAACCTCCAACATCCTGATTGAATTTTTCTCTAACACTCTTAACTTTATGCGATCTGAGCTTTGTTTAAGAGTGGTGGTTGTAGTAGTACTTTGTAGTGGTGGTACTAAATGTTTCCAAATTTTTGTTTAGATGGTACGCATTAGTCAAAAGGTTGAGAACCGTTGATTATAGACGTTCTTCGGCTGCTGTGCGCGGTCGTGCGATTTTCGATGCTCTCAACCATTTCGTTCGTGCACATTTATCGTTTTCGAGAAACTTGATATTCCGAGAGAGTAATATTTATTTTAAATTTCTTCCGGGAACCGGGATATTTTAGTTTTCAGGGATCAGTTCCGGGAAAATCCCGGAATTCCTAGAGAGGTGAGAACCTTAGGTATGAGTAGGTGGAAGCAAAAAGAGGGGAATCTTGGTGAAAGAGAACATTGTCTTTGACCGTGGCTCTCTGCTGATATAATTATAGCCATCAAGCGGATGTATGTCAGGTGTAAAATGAGTCCTGACTCTGACTCGTAAGAATGAATGTAAAGTTGCTGGTTACGCTTTTCGCCCCCTATATTTGGTTACATTAGTGGATACTGTGGAAAGACCATGTATAGGATGTGCTTGAGCAGTTTATCTCGGTATTTCACTCTTATTGTACTCGCTGTCATTTAACGCACATTTAAGAACACAAATTTTCCTTCCTGTGAGGATAACTAACTGCAACCATCGATAAGATTACACCAGATAGGATGGCACGGCAAGAAATTTACGCGTTCCTAAACAAACTCCCTCAAATTTATTGCGTTTCTTAAAGGGAAAGGTTTCCGCATGTGAATAATGAACGTCTCATGTTCATGAGTTTGTATTTCTAGGGAAATAGAGTATTGCAAGGTCTGCTTATTGTTAAACTTAAACGTTAGGAATTCTAATTAATTTTTTTCCTTGAAATTGTGGCTCAGTTTTATGAAAAGAAGTACCGGAACTCATCTTATTTAGGGCTCCGGCGCAATTTAAACACTGAAGATTAGTCGTGTAAAAATAATACAGATATTCAACTAGTATGCTTAAAAGAGTTATATTAATTCTAGATCAGCTAATTGTAAACATACAAACAAAGTAGATTATATTATTATTAAATAAATTCTTAGGAGTCAGATGTCTTGTTTTGCATCCGCTGTGTCTCAGAGCGAAAAATCAAGCTTAGGTGCAAAGGAAAGGCAAATAAAAAATGGCAATTTTGTTTGAGAAAAGAATAATTTCGCAGCATTTGATACGATATTTTTAAAGCCAGGTTAAAAAAAAGGGGATTAAAAAAGGAGGCCCACACTATATATATAAAAAAATAATTATGGGCCTAAGTAAGATAGAGAAGATGAAAGAGAAGCGTGAAGTAATCTAATCATGAATGTGTCCTAATTTTCAATAAACAATGTGTCAGTGTGCTGTTGTAAATATATAGTATATTGAATGTGCTGAAAGTACTAACCTAACGTAAATGAAAAGAGGTTAAAAACATGGATGTAAGAAAGGAAGGAGGGGCCAACCCCGCACTGCGAGTGAAGTACTGCTCCAAGGCTTCGGTCTCCAGATTAGGTGTTTTTTGTTTACATTCAGAAGCTCCCTTAACAGCGCTTTGATAGTATTTCGACATAGGATAGTTCCATAGAAATCGAAAAACGAGACACTTCCGCATAAAAGAAACATTCATTCTCTTCCATCAGTATAATCTGTGAAGCTATCCTATTTAAGAGAATCAACGACTACATAGAAAGCAATTGCATCATCAGGCCACACCAGTTTGGTTTTATGAAGCAACTTCAACAACTAACCAGCTCTACCGAGTAGTAGAAACCATCTCCGAGGGAATGGCAACACTCAAGATCACTGCAGGACTGTTTCTAGACATTGCTAAGGCTTTTGACCGAGTCTGGCTGGATGCTCTATCTCAAAAATTGCCAAATTACACGCCCTGAGCTTCCCAGGCTACATCATTAACATTATTAATTCCTACCTAACAGGTAGACACTTCATCGTTCACGTTTCCGGCAAAAACTCCACCAGCCATGCCATCCAGGCTCCTTACTTGGACCCACACTTTTTAATATTTACGTGAATGACATACCATCCACACACGACACAACATTAGCTATGAATGCAGACGACTCTGCGATCCTACCACAAAGTGCATTCGTAGGTCCAGGCATTCAACGATTACAAAACTACAACCATACATTAGAGACTTGTCTTGCAAAATGGAAAGTTCAAGTCAACGTGGATAAAACACTGGCCATTATGTTCACCAAAAAAAGCAAATTCAAGAAAAATCTCATCTTCAGTGGCACCCCTATTCCCTGTGTCAAGCAGGTCCCTTATCTAGGGTTGATCCTCAACAAAATTCTTACATGCACCCCACACATTACATCTATTATCCAAAAGTTTCGAGTTCGTAAAGCTAAACTCTACCCTTTAATTGCTCGAAACAGTGTTTTATCAATTGACAACAAGTTACTCATTTATAAGTCCGTTCTCCGTCCATTACTATGTTATGCTAGTTCAGTTTGGGCCTATACCCAAAAATGTAATAATAAAAAATTACAGACTTGGTAAAAATTCTGTTCTTAGGGAAATAGTTAAAGCGAAGTGGTATATCCGCAACAATAGAATTAATGAAGAACTGGGTATGGAGCAACTACGCTCACATTATTATAAACTTGCTAAAAGCTTTCATGAAAGACAAAAAACAATTAAGAACCCGGCCATTAAGATTTGCAATTATGACTACAATGACCTAGCAAATATGGACAGGCCCATGCCCCAACTGAATGTATATATTATGTAATATTTATTATAATGCCTTTACGGTTTATGTTAACCTTCTCTTATTGTATCTGCTATGCATTCGTTTTAGTCTAATTTTCATAGTATTTATGTCTTACTTATCGGATTAAAATTACCAGTGTTCACCTAACCTTGCCTTTATCCACACGCTCACCAGCTCGACGACTTCTGGCCTGCATTTAGTTGACATCGCTTAATACTTTAATTAGTATTTCCTAACTTCTGGCTTAAATATGAATTCTAAATTATTAATTATTCACTTTAAAAACTTCATTATAAAAAACAAATTAGATATCTTTTAGGTTATTTCATCATAAAATTCGCAATGCGTAAACTCTTCTACAAGGGGTAGAGACTTGTCGCTCAGGTACCCTGGTGTACCAAACACCGTTTCGCGGATGGGTGTGTATTTAATTATGGGCTATCTGCCTAAGGGAAGTGATGCCTTCGTGGAGGACTTTCTAAGGGAAACTGGCTCGTATACACGTTACACATGGGGAAAACCACGAAAACACCCATGCAGCCAGCCCGTTCGCGGGATTCGAACCTCGGACCAAACTACCAGTGTTCAGCGACTTTACCGCTCGGCCGCTGGTGGGCCCCTGTTTCGCGGATGGAAAATATTCACAGTGTGATGGATAATAGCAATTTGTATATGACATTTACACAAAAATCACATCTTGGTTATTCTTTGCTAACTAACAACAGCGATTTTGATTATGAATTTGTTTTGTAAAATTCATAGCTGTTGAACTACAAAAATATAGATTTTAACAAAAATGTTAAGCTTAAAGAATGAAAAATGCCTTATGGTGCCTTTAAAATTGTATATGTCTTTCGACACCCTTGATAGAGTATTCGCTACTTTTTTTTATGTGCCAAACTCCAAACGTTTTAAAAAATATATATATATATATATATATATATATATATTATTTTTTTTTTTTTTTTTTGTCATCCACATATTATTGTAACATGGTACATTTAAACATTTTTAGAGGAGAGGCTTTATAGTTGCTCGTTTTAAACTCATCATTTTAATTTTATACAACTGAAATATAATCATTTTGGGTTTACACGTTTTACTTATTTGGGTTAATTAAAAAATAAAATTACCTCCAAATGCTGCAATCTTCGTTAAAATCAATAAATATACATACATATATACCAAAAAGTTAACTTTTCCTTTATTTGTAACCACACATTTGTGTAAAATTATGCACAGTTTTACACAAATGGATGAAACAGAAGACGGATACATTTTCGAATTCGGCGAATGAAGCAATATTATACAGAGTAAGGCAATCAAGATTGCGATCTGATGACAATATAGGTTAATGTTTAAATGTGAAATGGATAGTTATTATTTATTATAGTATCAAAGAATTATCAAACTAGGTAAAATCCCTAAAAGAGGTATTGAGTGCTCTGCCAAAATATATTTACTAGAAGATTTGAATTTGATAATGAATGTATCCCAAAACGTGGTTTTTAAGTCAAAAGTTTGAAACATGATGGCTAAATGTAAATATACAATTATGCATGTTAAAATATTTCTAATTAGGCACATAGGTCTGGTTAAGTTTTTATTAAAAAGGCATGCAAGGGCTATCTGCCTAAAGGGGGAGATGTCATTGTGGAGGAATTTCGAAGAAAAACCGACCTTTGAGTGGGTATTAAAAATAATGCATGTAATTTTCATTCAAAATATTTATACATATTTCTTATGTAAAAATGTCGGGTATATGCTAAATTATTGTAAATTGCTCTACTCGAAAAATATAATGAATGCACAGAAATTAAAGATTTGCACATGCGGAAAATGAAATATGTATGGGTATTTATGCATATGCTTACAAAAAGCATGTATCTGCTTTTAACAAAATACTTAAATATTTATTAAATTATTTATAAAGTATTTAAAATGAAGGATTTATTCATTCATAAACTCCTGTGAAAGTTACTGTGAAGAAATCTAATTATTAAATGTATATAAATTTATAATGATTATAAACATTATCTAAATATATAATAACCTTAACAATGAATTGTAAACATAAATTGAAATCCTGTTGACAAATACGTTAAAGTTATATACATGGAAATGAGCACCAATATTTAACGGATTTCAGTATTAAAATAAAAGGTACTTTAATTTGAAATGGACCGAATAGAGCATTAATTATAAATTGACTTAAATTTTTCGATTTAAAAGACGCCTCAGAAGCTAAAAAAATCATGTCATATTTGAGAAAGTATTTTAGGAAGAAGCTCTATAAATAGAAATGAAATAATGCACAATTTTAATAATACAATAAACTTTGATCTTAATTTTTGTAATCCTTAACCGAATAAAATTGAATTACCTTATTTTTTTTTTTTTTTTTTTTTTTCCTAATGTAGTTAACGAAAACGTGTGAAAATATTTCAAATTAAACCATTCTGAGCAAACTGTTCTGTGAAAAGTATAGCATTTAATTCCGTTCAGAATGAAATGTTGTTTAAAAATGTATTCTTTTCACATACTTAGGACTCTGAAATATTGTACAAAAAGAAAATATATACATTTAAATGCATATTTGCGACGTAATTACAAAATATTTACACCCGATCGTGTCAAAACCCATTGATCTTAATGGTAAGTCACTGAATGTTTAAGTCACCACGAAAGGATCGCCATTGCTTCAAAGCAGCGTATGAGGAAAACCGGTTAGGGCTTCTCCTTCTTACTTCCTACCTCCATGGTTAAAAAAAGGAGGGGGATGCTTCGTTCTGGTAACTTAACACTCTTGACCATGTGTTTCTTATCAGAGTAAAAAAAAACGAAGCTAAAAGACCTCTGATCAAGAGTATGGTGATTTGAAAACTCTCTATGTGTGCTTGAGGTAGTTGAAAGCGCTGGCAAATCCAAAGAAAAAAAAAAGTTGGAGACCAGTTTGATAACAAATTAAAATGTAGTTCAGCTAACTTTAAGAAGCTTACTAAGCTAACTTTAAGCAATGACAGTAAAGCAAAAATAAAAAATAAAATAAAAAAAGGGTGTAAGTATAAACATGGAATACAAGGCAATATGCTTGTTTTCACTTTGAGATACAACAGCAAGAAAGGTATATAACATCAGACAAAAGTAGATTTTCATAGGTGTTTCAGAAGACAGCAGCAGATAAAAGTAGATATCCATACACAATTAAAAATAAAAAAAAAAAGAAAGAAAGGGGGGGGAAAGAAAAGCCAACAGAAACAGCAAACACAGATAGCCACACAGAAACACAAATAGTCACATCAGGAAAAGAAAAAAAAAAAAAAAAGAGTAAAGAATAAAAATAAAATAAAATAAAAATTAATTCTGAAAGCTTCCAGATTTTATATTACACCCAAACGGGTGTCAGAGTGTGACTAATGACCTAAAAATGGAAAATGTGTTTTTCTGGGCTGACTCAGCAAACACTTAGTATTGGATCAAGAGAAACGAAAATTGGGCTCCCTTTGGTTTTAACCGAGGGCATGAAATTCGTTCTATGACAAATCCTGAAGACTGGCATCACATCCCAGGCCCATTGAATCTAGCAGAGCTTCCATCACGTGGGTGCGATGCCGAAACATTACGAAAATCTCGATGGTGGAAAGGACCATCGTGGCTGAAAACAGCGAATAGAAGAATGCCCAAATTCTAGCGTAGTTCCTGATTTTTATATAATAAATTTAGAAAAAAGAAAGGCCATTGTTAGTACAGTTATTAACGAAGAATCATTTTAGAAAAAATATCATGACCGATTCTCTTCATACAACCAACTTCTTAGAGTCACTGCATGTATGGTGTCGATTTTGTTACCAATTGTAAGGTTGAAAGGTCTAATTGAATTTCTGGAATCTTGACACTAGAAGAAATAAATAATGCAGAGATCGCATTGGTGAAAGTTGAACAGAAAGAATCGTTTACAATACAAACCTGTAATCATCCCGTTACATAAAAAAAATCATCCGGACCAGACGAAGCAGTTGAACCATACAGTAGTTCAAATCCTGATGAGCAACTTAAGAGAAGATTTTTGGATTCTTAAATGTAGGAAGACAGTAAGAAATGTAATTAAGACCTGTATAAGATGTAAACGATTTAATTTGAGGCCTAAACCGATCATCGAAGCTTCTCTCCCAGAAGATCGCATAAAGGAAGCTCTAGGTTTCGAAGTCTCAGGAATGGATTATGCTGGCGCATTAATCCTAAGAAATGGCCAGAAAGCTTGGATTGTTATATTTACCTGTGCCAGTTACCGAGCTGTGCATCTGGAGTTAACTATACCTTTATCGACGAACCATTTTTTGAAAACTCTTAGCCGTTTCATCGCTCGAGGGGGTTTACCTTCCATCTTTTACTGTGACAATGGTTCTAATTTTTCAAGAGCTGAGAATTTATTGAAGAAAATTGAGACGTCATTTTCCAATGCAGTTTATATTAAAAGATCATTTGGAAATTTAATCCCCCATCTCCACCCATGGTGGGATGAGTGGTGGGAACGTTTGATAGGTATAATAAAAGGAATTCTACGAAAGGTTCTAGGAAGAAGTTCACTAAATTTAGAAGAAATGGACACCGTTATTTGTGACATTGAAGGTGTGATTAATCAGCGACCTTTAACCTATATTTCAGAAGATGTTGATGATTTTTAACTCCAGTATTTCTTTTATGAAAATATATTTTAACAAGCTGTCATCAGTTTTGTGTGCACATATATGTGTGTCTGTATATGTATATCATTTAGTTGTATATCTCCTTCCTATGTGTGTAGAGTTACTTGTGTATATATAAAAGGATATAAGCAATTTCACATACAAAATTTCTATGCTATACGACTAATCGAATGACGTTTTTGAGGTGCACAAAAATATCCACTTTGAAAACGAAAAACGTATTTTGAATCCTCTTTACGATCCATTTTTGAATAACTATTCTTTTTTTCTGTCCATACGTCATGCAAAAGAACATTAAAACGTCATGCAAAAGAACATTAAAACGTCATGCAAAAGAACATTAAAACGTCATGCAAAATAATAGTCAAAACGGCTTCGGGAACGATCAAAATGGATATTTTCGTTGAAATCTGAAACCCGAAATTTTTCGCCATTACAATAGTTATAGGGTTTCATTATTTTTACCAATCTTTATTTTAATTTGTGAGCCTTTTCTGTTTGCTTTTATTCCTTTTGCGTTTCCTCGCCGGGATATAAATGAGTTAGGGTGAACGACAGTGTTTAAACTGTTTGAGCAAAACGTTAAACAGAGCGTAATTTCGCTATTGTGAGCACATGTTGCTAATTCTTCCAGCTCTTAACCTTAAATGTCGGCTACACATTCTTGCCGCCGAACTGCTATTCTACCAGCGTAGGTTCATAGTCAACCTGTTAGCTTTAAGTTGAATTGTGTAGTTTTGTACTATTCCTGCCTTTAAATTTAGTATTGCATATCATTTAAGTTCTTAACGCAACGGTGTTTGTAAGCAGGAAAACTCCGTGCCGTTTGTAAATTATATTGTCTTAATAAAAGGGCTTTTTACACCTTTTCTCTGGTTGAGTTCATCTTCAAACCTGTGCAAGAATTCGCAAGGATTAACACTTAGGTATATCTAGTCATATTTTATGATAGCTCAAGAAAACTAGATCCTGTATACTTCCTTTACTTCGTGCAAGGAAGTAAAAATGAATTTTTACCTTTTATTGCATTTCACTGAAGTCTTCTAGCTTAAAATATTTTATATAGGTATTTTATTCATAACGGATTAAATAAATTGTAAAGAATATATTTTCTTTTTCTTTATTCATAATAAAGTATTTTTGAAATTATGAATAAATGAAAAATTATATCTCTTTACTTGCATTACAGGAAATACATATTTCTCTCACTAAAAATGGTAAACCAGTTGTCTGTATTTTTAAAACATCCGAATAAGCTGAACTGCAGTTACTGCAGATATCTGGAGTTCAAATATAAATTTATCGAGTATTCTAAGTATTCTGTGCGTGGAAAGGGTTATAATAGGATTACTGATAATTTTCAAATATTGTTACATCATTTCAATAAGCAAATAAAAATGTACAAATGTTTTTGCTTTTTAAAGACTGGAACCTATCATATAAGTAAACCATAAAAAAAAAAAGAAAAAATTTTTGAAAATTTTTTTATAATTTTGAAGAAAAAAAATAACAAAAAATAAGTAACAAAATGCATTTCAAAGACAATTTTGTTTTCGATTTAATTTACACATATGATAAATTTTTTATTTTATTTATCATGTGCAACTCAGCTAGAGGTATCATGCGTTGCATCATAATTTAACAATGCGTCAAATACATGAAAGCAGCTGTAATGCCACAGAAAACTGCGATAAGAAAAACTGAAAAATAAAATTTCAAAAAATCCCGTCCTGTAATCCTGTAAGCAAGTTAAATAACTGATAAATCCTGAAATTATTTCTGATAAATGCATCACAATAACTTTAGATTATTTCCGTTGTGAAATCTTATGCGTCAGCTATTGTTCCAGGAAGCAAAATGTGAACCGAAACTTTTAGATAGAACGTTCTTTCACTGATATGGCTGGCGTGTTTCGTATTACAGTTCAGAATTCCAAAAAAGAAGGAATTATTGTAACACATTTTTTCCTTCCTTACCGCGTTTTTTCGTGCAGGTACTTTCAGCTACCACTTGAGAAGTCCAGAATTCGAATCCCGTTGAGCGGAGTGCACATTTTTCATTTTCCTTGCCCCAACATGGGCCCACCAGCGGCCGAGCGGTAAAGTCGCTGAACACTGGTAGTTCGGTCCGAGGTTCGAATCCCGCGAACGGGCTGGCTGCATGGGCGTTTTCGTGGTTTTCCCCATGTGTAACGTGTATACGAGCCAGTTTCCCTTAGAAAGTCCTCCACGAAGGCATCCCTCCTCTTAGGCAGATAGCCCTCGTGTGCTTTGCCATAATTAAATACTCCACTCCTTGCCCCAACATGAATACGCTGCGCAAAAAAAAGCGGGGGGGGCAGTCTTGTATCTCTCGTTCTATTGGGCCGATTGACGAAATTCAAACTGCGTTTTTCATATCTCTAAAGCGCGACTTGGTATATATATACATATATATTAGATTTATACATAGCTTGATAGTTCTAATATAGGTATTTTGACACAAAATCGGACTTTTTCTGAAATGACATGCCAAATTTTCCATATTTCGATTCTACAATTCAAATCATGTCTAAATATTAAATTTTGTAAAATTTCGTACGAAATTTACGGATAAATTCAAAAATTTATCTTGGCGTATTTTTTTCAGTTTGCGCCAAGAATAATTAATTCACTTGGCGAACTTCTTAATTTATGGCAATCCATTTTCCTTTCCCCTTTCACATTGTGCATGAGCGGAAAAAGTCACCTCGTTCCTACTTTCAGATAACTTTAACAAAGTGCGTAAACCACATTAGATGTTATCATCGCTTTCAATAAATATGCCAAATTTCAAAATGCGCCAATATATAAATTCACGTATATCTTCGGAAATTTTGTATAAAAAGCTATAATATTAAGAAGATATGCTTATTTAAGGTATTTTAATATTTTGCAGGTAATACATCTACTTAAGATGATGGTAAAAATTTTATAGGTTATAATTCAAACTGTGTTTCGAAAAATTTATAAAAATTATTTTAAAATCCAAATTTTAAAAATAAATCATAAAAAGTTGGTGAAATTTATTTGGAATGAACTTAAATTTCGAAATGGGAAATGAAGAATAAAATATGCTTAATTAAAAAAAGAGCTAATTACAAATGTATACCAAATTCAATTAACACTGAGGAGGAAAAATTTTGAGAGCTAATTTTTTAAAAACTACTCGTGCGATTTTTACAAAACTTGAAAGTCTGACATAGTTTGAGTCGTAGAATCGAAATACGGGGGAAAAAAAAAAACAACCTAAAGTCCGATTTTGTGTCAAAATACCTATATTAGAACAGTCATTCTTCATATTCATTATGAAGATTCTTCATTATGTACTTTCCTTAAATATAATACATGGCGATAATAATATTTGGTGTCAACAGTTTGAAAAGTGAATCGACGCAAAATGGCGTTTTGAAATTAACAGCCCTTCTGAGCTAATAAAAGAATATTTAATTACTTGATTAAATAGAAATTACTAAATTAAATGAAATTACATATAAATGTACTACATATCCTAAGTCGCGCTTTCGAGACATGAAAAACACAATCTGAATTTCGTCAATCGGCCCAGTAGAACGGGAGAAACGGGAGATATAGAACTATAGAACTGTCCCCCCCCCCCTTTTTTTTTTTTTTTTTTTTTTTTGTTTTTTTTTTTTTTTTTTTTTTTTTTTTGCAGAATACCTGTTCACTCTACAAGTGGCTCTGGAACTAAAATGTGGTGGACGATTGGACGATAATGCGTCACATCTAGGATTTGAGGATTGTTTCTCCAGTCGCCCTTGAAGTGGGGGAAAATGTAAAGCATTTTCTCCTTCGTTACCGCGTATCTTCATGGTGTAACTAGAAGTAAATCCAGTTTACAATCGGGAGGTCTGGACTTTCAGCCCTGGCGAAAGTATTGCGCATTAAAGATTGAATTTTTTTTTCATAGATATTTAAGTGCGTTTCATCTCTGTTTCCTCGATTTCCGTATTTTACTAAGTTTAACGTGTAGAACGAGGTAATTATCCCTGGATTGTTTCTCTTATTTGAAAAATGAGTCAGCGAAATAATTCTGCATTCACAGCGCCTTTTCATTTGCCTTATATAGGTAAATTTGGTTTTGCTTTCAGAGGGGCTTCTAAATCCTTCTGTAATATTTAAAATATGAAAAATATCAAATAGTTTTTTTTTTTTTTCCCAGTTCTGGTTTTTAAAAGTATAAAATAAGAAGGAGGAGTAAAATTTGAAACTTCGTGTTTTAGTAGTTTAAATCTTTCTTCAAATATCAGGCACTTACTCATATTTTATATTCTCATTGGCGATGTCGTTCAGTAGGCCCTCTTGCGGCTGAAAATTAAAACCGGTGAACAGTGGTAGTTCGAACTCAGGCTAATGCACTGGGTGCACGGGAAGTTTCGCCATCTTCCATATGCGTAATATGATTATGAGCCAGTTTCCTTTAAAAATCCTCCACGAAGGCACTTAGGTAGATAGACCTAGTCTACCTTTCCCATAATTCAAATAAATCGAAAAGTCATTTATCGAATTCTCGATCTGTGAACGAACGCTTACTTGCATAGTCAGTCTTTCTATTGTGTTTCGATCGTAATTAAATTTCGTTATGTCACGTGAATAGGAGGGAGGATCTTTGGTAAGAGTTGGTGTGGTCATTTATTTGAATATTAAATTAATAAACAGTTTACTTACATTGTTTTGGTGTTATATCTGTAATTCGATTAACTTACATTTGTAATAATATCAGTAAAAATGCTTTAAGCTTTTCTCTTTATCATCTCATTTTTTTTTCGTCCAGAGAGGGTTTAAAAAAAAGGACTATTGTTTAAAATAAATAAATTTATGAATTTTGAATCAGAGGTAGCACATATATAAATTTAAACAATGAAAATAAAAATAAAAATAAAAATAAAAATAGAAAGGTGAAATTTATTTTTGGTGTCTAAAAAAATTTAAAAATGGAAG